CTCAACTGCTGCAGAAACATACACAGAAACTCTAAAACTGTCAGTCTGTCAGCTGATCTGTGCACAACGAAAAGCAAAAGAAATGAAGAGAAATAACAAAGCCAGATACAGCGATCCACGCAGGCACCAAGGCGCTTAACACTGTGCTGTATCTTGTGGGTGGCCAGTAACAATTATGCTCCTTGTTTTTGGTAAGGCCTTGGAAATGTGGGGGAGAGGCCACACTGGTACACAGACGTGCTAACGGAAAGTCCAGACAAAGCGAGATACAGACATTACAGGAAGAGGAGAAGGAGAGGGGAGAATCATGGGCAGTTTGTGGAAAAAAAAAATTACAAGAAATGAATAGCTGGAGTGCATGGAAGTAGTTTGGTATAAATGTTGCTTTAATGTTTTTTTGTTTTTGATCTTGTGATTTTGAAGAAGCTGATAAACATCTGCTGAAAATTAATTTGTCCCCATGTGTGCCCACTTCCTGCCTGACAGGCATGGGGCTGCAAAGGATGTGAGGCCTCCCTGCATGCCTACTGGAAGTTCAGATTCAGGGCACGACTATAAGGAAAACTGCAATGTATGAAAATAACTGGAGATTATGTCATCATGCAAGGTTGCTGCTAAACCTCACTTTAACTTTCTGACCAATCCACAAAGGGCTTCACTTTGTAGGTTTTTGGAATAACTTACATCATTCACCAGCCCTGTAGAAGATTTGAAAGGAAACTCTGTAATGCAAAGAGTAAAATACTGTCCTGATTACAGCCTCAAGACCTGGAAAAGATATTAACTTAAGCCCACAGAAACAGTATGTGGTCCTCACGAAGTCCTAAAGTTTCCTGCAAAATGCCTGTGCAACATTTCCACATGTACTATTGGGTCACACTAACCAAATCCTTCGTTTTCCTCCATTTAGTAATGTCTGCTTGCAAACCAAATGTCTATGAAAGCAACCTTTGGACTGATTAGACTGTGCAATGAGGGGAAAATGTCTGGAGCCTGGTTAAAAAGCATTTTACTGCCTTGAAGTAGAAGCTTCATGAAAGTATTCTTTTCAATCCTGAACACTATTTTTAGTGGGATGTGTATTTTTCTATTCACAGAAAGTTTTTTTCTGAACTAAGCTGGACATAAAAATGTGCCGTCATTCTGTGAAAATGGGGGATTACGTAAACAGCAGCTGTAATTACACTGTTACAATTACCACTGTGGTGCTGTACAAAGGGGAAATTACACAAATATTGTCTCACTGTCTAAATACTTATTCACCCAATTGCATATATATATATACACAACACCTGACTTCACAGAGCTGCTCTGGCATCTGTGCTTGTGTTGACACTTCTGAGTCATCCTGTGATCTCCTTTAATCTCATTATACAGGTCAGGACGTCAGAGTGTGTCTAAGCAGACTGCCGTCAGGTCACGGTCTGAGATTGTGCTGCCAATGAGACACAACACACTGCTGCAATCTGGCATCATAAATGAGTATCTCTGGGATTAACACAAAATCAAGTGTACGATATATGACGAGAATATATTAGTATCTCCGAGTATCAGTTTATTAGTATATTAGACACAGAAGATCAGTAACTCATCAGCCTAGCTTGCCTTATAACTAATAATAACATTAACAGTTAAGGCATAATGCTAGTGGATTTGTTTATTTGCTTTTATTGTTATTCATTCCCCATTTTGAATCAAAAAAACAAAGATAACATAAATTTATTTAAAGGAAAACCCCAGCTTGCTATGTTAGCACTTTAAACCTAATGGCTAACAATCTTACAATTGTCAACCAGTGAGTGCACCCAGGTTTATCTTGCACTGATGGACTATAATTTACAAAATTAAAAGCAGGTTTTAGTCAACATGACCCAATATTAGTGATTGAGCCCAAACGTCACCAGAAAATTGTTTACCTAGCTCAAAGATGAAGAGAGCGGTAGATTGTTTTTTTATACAACTGAAAATCTTTTTGGAACAAGATGATTCGCCCACTGCTAACCAGTAAAATGAATACAGGTTTAAGGCGTCACTTTTAAGACGTCAAATCTACGTCCCGTCAGTTGTATCCTGTCTTTGGCCTATGTTCTCTGGGCCCTGAAGGTGATACAAGGCTTTCATCTAGTATGGACTCTTCCAAACAGTCTTCTAAAACATTTACATGTGATGATGATGCCAAAGTCCTTTCCACTTTATTAGAAAATTCCTTTGGCACATAATGAATCATGGCTAAATATAAACCTGTTATAACAAAGCAGGCAAAAAGGAGACCTTTTAAATGCTATAATTGTTTTGACCAGCCACTTATCTCGTGTAGTGATATGAAAGTGATATGAGACTTGAGAGTTTACTCTTTTTTTCTCCAGTAAATCATTATGGGAATCATTAAAACACACGGGTTACTTGTGTGTGTTTCTGTTACTGTAGAACAATCAATTTGCTGCTTCAACTGTGATGTATGCCATGCAATTGATACTCAGAGCTAAGGAAAAATCATGCTGAACAAAAAAATTTGAATTTGCCTTTGGACTGGTTGTAAAATTGATTTGGTTGCACTTTCTAACAGAGCTTAAATATAGATTTTAACCCTGAAGATTTCAAGCACTGCACCTCATAAGTTATGTGGGACTGAAAGTGCTGTAAACAATAACATATAAATAAAATAAATGGAGGGTTACAATGTGCCACGTTTTGACACACTGCAATATCCTCTAAGGTCGTGAAACTTGTAAAATATTAAAATTTTGAACGGCTTCATAAAGTTAATTACTAAATTATTGTACAAAAAACAAACAAAACAACTGCTTCTGATGAGGTTTTTTTTAAGATAAGATAAGATAAGATAAGATAAGATAAGATAAGATAAGATAAGATAACCTTTATAGTTCCACACGTGGGAAATTTGTTTTGTCACAGCAGGAAGTGGACAGTGCAAAAGTTATGAAGGAAAAATTAGAATATAATAAGAATAAATACAATACACAACTGTACAGAATAGAATAAATAAAATACTATATACAGTAGAATAAAATAGAATAGAATATACAATAGGATAAAAATAGAATACAAATGCTATATACAACTGAGTAAAAAATACAACGATGCCAGAAAAGAGTATTGCACTTAGTGTTATTGCACATGTGTGGATGTGTGTGTTTGATCAGTTGAAATGTGTGTGTTTGTGTGTGTCAGTTTTTCCCCGGATTTGACATATTTTATATGGAACGAGCCAGTAAATTTAAATTTGAGGTTTAATTCAAATCTATTGTGTCTTGTGTCTAAATCTATGTAAGAATTCGTTTACATCTATAGTTTTCCATGGTTGTGTGTTTTGTTTTTAATGTCTCATGGAGAGGTTATTTAATATATAGTATATATGCACACTATTACAAAAGCTTTAGTTACCTTTGTTAATGATGCGTGTGTCATAAACCAAGTTTGTCTTTCCCACCATGTGGATGAAGGGGACAAGACTAAACCGGTTCCTATGTGGATGCGAGGCCGGTTCCAGCTGGCTGCGTTGCCGCGGTAACGCGCGCTCTATAAATACTGCCGGGCTCTCGTACCGGCTTACACTCAGTTCCATCTGTGTTTGAGAGGTTGCGCTTCTGGCAACGGTCTTCGTCGTAAAGGGGAACTGCTTTATTTCTTTTTTTATCCCAGCTTTTGGGTCTAATGGACAAACTCTTTGTAAATGCTTTTTAAGGTAAGTAAGGGTATTTTGGTGAATTATCCTTCAATGGAAGTCTTTTTTTTTTTTCTTTGACTAAATACTCTTTAGCTTAGATTAACTGGCAGGGTTTTTTCAGTTGTCGCGAACACATGAACAGTTTTGACATGTTATGTATTCCTATGTTATTTTATAGTAATTGAAATGTTGGTTTGATTCCAAACTGTGTTGCTGTGGATCGTAGAGTGTTAACAAACAGCACTACGTGGCCGGCGAAACAGATGGGGTGGTTAGCTTGTTAGCATTATCCTTTTTGTGTGTGTGCCTGAACAATAAAAGTACCCTCCGAGAGGTTGGCTTGTGATGGATGTTTTTTTGGGTCCTTTATGTTTGGTTGCGAGACTTTAGGTGAGTAAAGTTAACCTGTCTTGCCTGTTATTTATGTAACAAAACGTGTTAGTTAATGGTAACCAAAAATTGCCTCATGGCACGAATGTGGCTAAGCGGAACCGGTATAGTGACGTCGGCGCTAAATGTTAGTCGCTGATTGGCTACCTTTCATGCTCTTCATGTAACTTTAAAACAGGGACGGTTTTGTAATTGGGTAAATTCTTGAATAGGCGGGACACTCTTTTCTTTGAATGACTTTTTCCTGTGCAATATCCTCAGTTATGAAACCCAGTGCCATTAGAGACTAAAGTTAAGTGCGTGTGTTTTAAACATGCCTGAAATCTCAGAAATGCTAGTTTTAATAGAATAACTGGTAATCATGTGTTTAAACCGAAGTGTCATCATTTCATTAATGGGCTTTTTGTTAAACTGTCAACTGCTCCTGTTTGCAGAATCTTCACTCAAGGAAATCACACACTGGCTACTCAGCAGGCCCTGGCCTTGAGTCTTATTTGAAAGGGTTTAACTTCACTGGTGAGCCACCTTGGCTTCTCTGCACCTGAGTGACAACAACACCAAATTCCATTTCTTTCATATCAAAGTAAGTGTTCTGCATCTGGTTGTTTGAAACTTGATTTAACATTGCATTGTCATCTGGGCATGACTTTCAGATAATATTGTATCAAAAACACCTGTTCACTTGGTGCTTTGAGAATTTTTTTTTTCCTAATTTTTTTTATGTAACTTTGCACTGTCCACTGCTGTAACAAAACAAATTTCCCACGCGTGGGACTAATAAAGGTTATCTTATCTTATTACTCATCTGTGGAATATGAAGGGGACTTTAGTAACTGAAAACATAGAGGACAGGGTGTTCTCAAAGTGGCATGTAATCTGAGTATCGTTTCTTTTTTCCAGTTCACCAGTGACCATTCTAAAGGACTTCTTGCAACCATGAACACTGCCACGCCCACTGACTTTGACTTGTCTTTCCTCGATGAGGGTTTCTCTGCTCGTGACATTGTTGAGCAGAAGATCAATGAGTCGTCCATGACGGTAAGCATCCTGTGCTGGCACTGATGCACTAATATTAAAAGTACAGTCTAGTTTATTGTGTAATTCATCATGTATTGATTTTTTTTTTTTTTTTTTTTTTTTTTTTTCCACCTGTTACAGGATGACAGGGATGCCTTTTATGTCTGCGACTTGGGGGACGTGGTAAAGAAACACCTGCGATGGGCTCGGGCTTTGCCTCGTGTTAGACCTTTCTATGCTGTCAAATGCAACGACAGCCGGGCTGTGGTGATGACACTGGCGACCCTCGGAACAGGCTTTGACTGTGCAAGCAAGGTAGGCTTTGAAACTGCTTTCATAGCATTAGATGATCTCACAACAATGCAGTACAAAGCACTCCTGAAGATTAGCTGAAATTGCATTGGCAGCTTGTATTTTTAAGTTGGCACTGTCTCATTGTTGACTTTGCTGCCCTCTAGACGGAGATTCAGCTGGTTCAGTCTCTGGGAGTGGATCCAAGCAGAATAATCTATGCTAACCCCTGCAAGCAGGTTTCTCAGATAAAATATGCATCTGCCCACGGGGTCCAGATGATGACCTTTGATAGTGAGGTGGAACTCATGAAGGTGGCGCGCTGCCATGACAATGCCAAGTAAGACTTTTTCTATCTCCAACAAAGAGTCTTTGTCTTGGTTTGTTTATTTCTCACCTCTTAACTCTTTGTGTTCAGGTTGGTTCTCCGTATTGCCACAGATGACTCGAAGGCCGTTTGCCGTCTGAGCGTGAAGTTTGGGGCCCCCCTCAAAGCTTGTCGAGGTCTCTTGGAGCGTGCCAAAGAGCTGGGGCTTGACGTGATTGGTGTCAGCTTCCATGTTGGCAGTGGCTGCACCGACCCGGAAACCTATACCCAGGCTATCGCAGATGCACGCTGTGTGTTTGATACAGGGGTAGGTTTTGACTGAAATGCACACACAGCTGCAATTATGTGGATTTTTATAAAGCCAACTTAACCCTGTCTGTTGTGAACTCTAGGCTGAGTTGGGCTTCAACATGGATCTCCTGGACATTGGAGGTGGTTTTCCTGGGTCAGACAATACAGAGCTTAAATTTGAAGAGGTAACTGCTTTATTATAATAAATGGTATGGGTCACATTTATGCATTTGAACTGTTTTAAATGTCATATTCAGAAAATGCAAAAGTTTAACATGTACATGTGGATACTTCTCTTAGATCACAGGAGTAATCAACCCAGCCCTGGACAAGTATTTTCCTGTTGACTGTGGTGTTAACATAATTGCTGAGCCCGGGCGCTTCTATGTGGCCTCTGCTTACACACTGGTTGTGAACATCATTGCCAAGAAAGTCATCATGGATGAGGAGTTTGCCTCTGATGGTAAAGATTCTGCTTTCTACTAGCAACCCTTTTTTTTTTTTTTTTTTTTTTTTATAAATCAGTTTCTTACTGGTTATACTGATGTGATGAAATTAATTTTGCCTCCACAGAGGAAGATGAAGGGACCAGTGACAGGACTCTGATGTACTATGTCAACGATGGAGTGTATGGCTCTTTCAATTGCATTCTTTATGACCACGCTCACTGTCTGCCAACCCTGCATAAGGTATATAAAAAGGCATTAGTTAATCTTTAAATATAAAAAAGGTGAAACCTGTGTAACACATGTATATTCCTGTTTTAGAAGCCAAAGCCAGATGAAGTGATGTACCCCTGCAGCATCTGGGGCCCAACATGTGACGGTCTGGACCGCATTGTCGAGCAGTGTAGCCTGCCTGACATGCAGGTGGGCGACTGGTTGGTGTTTGAGAACATGGGCGCCTACACAGTGGCAGCCTCCTCCACCTTCAACGGCTTCCAGAGACCCGACATTCACTACGTCATGTCACGTCCTACCTGGTGAGTCAGTGTCACAGAGGCTCAAAGTCTGGTTAAATGATTCGTAATAGGAAATTTTGCAGCTTTAATGTAACATTTATTATTGTCTTTCAGGCAACTTGTGCAGCAGATCTGTTCACAGGGCATCCCAGCACCTGCAGAAGAGTCATACCTGTTTGAAGTGCCTGCCTGTTGTGGCAGGGAGAGCAGCTTGGACCTGCCTGCTGAGCCTTGCCAGGCCCATGTGATTTAGATATGCAGTATGTCTGTCACATGTAACATCAGTTTATGGACAAGGGTTCTGTGTATAAGGATTTTTATTTTCTTGTTTTTCTGCCCTGTTACCTAAAATGTACAGTGCTTAACAAATTTATCACGCCACTAGCCATAAAAACCAAGCACAGATCTTAACTCTGTCACATTTATCAGGCAGAAAGAAAATTCCACTGTGCCAGTCTGGGTCTGAGGTAATCAAACCTAATATTTAACCACTGAAACCTTTCCGTTCAGAAATTCAAGTGAATGACTGACATTTGTCATTTTAACAGTATAGCTCTTTTTTTCTTTTTTTTCTCCTCCTTCAGCTCCATGATGGCAATAATTACCTCTTGGCATTAATTATTTTGATTAAACAGATTACACATACTGGTAGATGAAACATTACAGAAACAAATGATCTTTGGCACTTGCACTAGTGTTAATTAGGGCAGCTGTGGCATAAACCTTCCACTGGATGGTGCTCTAAACTTTTTAAGCACTGTATGTGAACTTTTCCAGGCCAGTTACTTGACAGAATGAGAGGGATGTGTCGCAGACATTTCAGTTCTTTATGGAAGCTCGAGATCAACCCTGAATGAAATGAGGCTGAATCACACTCTTGTGTCTCTGTTGGTTCCAGGTACAGTGCAAAGCTCTGTACTTGAATTTGCTGCTGTAGGTTTCCCAGCAGAGTCTGTAAGCGCTTGAGTACTGTAGTTCACAATGAACCTATTTAAACTGGAATAGTATAGGGAGGGAATTTGTATGGACTTGCAGCACTGGAACCTGATTTGGAAACAAATTTTTGAGCAGACTTGACAGCACAAAGTAAGAAGGCAGGTTTATTAAAGATCCAGAGGCTTCGATTTGGTGCACTGTTTTGTGTGGTAATTATGTTTTATTAAATATCTTTTTGTGGGTTAACTGGGGGAAATGAATTACTGTCTCCTTTATCTTAAGTGAGCCCTCTGGTAGCCCTTCTTTCTGTAGTACTCAAATACAATCTGGATTTTTAGTATTCAATATCAAGTTCTCATTTATTTATTATATTTATAAGAAGTCAGGGAATGTGCACCCTTTTGTTAAACTGCTGTTCTGTCTACAGCTGAAGTAACATCCTCAGCTGGTAACTTGCACAGAGGCAATGGTGTGTGGTTTTAAATTCCTCAAAAGTGGCTGCTATATTATTTAACTTTTCCATGATCTTGACTTCTGTAAAGAACATCCCCCCCCTCCACCCCAAGAGTGTTAATCCTCAAGATGACAAAGCTTATTTATTTGTCAGCAGTTATTTAGTGCTTGTTCTATCAAAGCTTCTCTGTAGATTTTGACTATAACCTGTATTTTCTGTATAAATTTTGAATATGTCTCACATGGCATGATATATGCATGAATCATACTCTGCATGTTGAAACAGCATATATAATGTATATACGCAACAGATTTCAGAGACTACCCAAAATCAATCTTAAAGATTAACACTTGAGCACAGGGACTCAAAGCAGACTGCCCCTCTTCTCTCTTCTCCTTTCCCTTTTTTTTTTTTTTTTTTTTTTGTTAAATTTAATTTGTTTTCCAGTTATCATATTAATGAGCAGAAGCAGTGTTTTAACTATACTTTTGAAATGGATATGAAAGAGATGGGAATGCATATTCATAACGCTTTCCTATGGAAACTGAAGTTTTGTATTTTTTTAAATAAATAAATGACCACCTTAGTTTGTGTTTGTCATTTTCTTCTCCTTTTGCACAAATATAAATGAAAAACCATTTAGTGGCTGAGGGGGGGAAGAGTTTTACTTTAACTTTGCATGCAGTTAATAGGAGTAGTGATAGAGGATGATCCCCTGAAACTCCACTGCCCCCACCCACCAGTTTAACAGTATGAGTCAACATTGTCTTTTTCAGGAAGTTGGCCATTTTTACGTGTTGCGCAGCTGTTTTATGCGTGAGCTGTGGGGCGTGCCGGAGTGTCTTAGAGAAATATCCACACGCCATGACCAATGGGGATTGTACCCGTACATATATGTGGAGAGATATGCTAGAGAACTTACATTGGGTGGTGGTCTAACAAATTTGTTAAGGACTATATTTACATATATATTTACATAAACACATGTGTGTTTATGTAAATATTTGAACATCATGGCAATGTACTTTTCATTATTTCTTTAAACAGTCCTTGTGATTGCACAGCATACATCTTTAATGATTGTAGAAAACAAGAATTAAGTGCACAAATTTGAATTTATTTTGGATTTTTAACGAAAATAGGATCAAAACTATACATTTAGCCTATAAAATGGCAACTATAAAAACTCATCCATGTTAGCAGATTTTAAGAGCTATGATTTCTTCACCCAAAGTTACCAAACCTAAAGTTTTCCTACTAGATGTATATGACTATATATCTAACAACAACTGTTTGAGTTTTTTCTTTAGTTCTGCAGCATTTTATTGGCCTACACAGTGAAAACTCCCCTGTGTATGTGAATGAGATGAAATACTTTATTTCCATCCAACCAAGAAAGCCATGATTTCATGGTAGGAGGACAGATTCTTTTGCAGATCAGTATTATTTATAACTCCTACATGAAAGTGTGAGTCTATGACTGCACCACAGATATGCCCTTCCGTTCATAATGCTTCCTAATGTACTCAGTGATGGCGCTCTCATGATTAAGCTCTTTCCTGAACAACATAATATAACACTTGGGAGCCAAGTGACAGCCGAGAACGCTGAAGCATGAAGTGAGGATGGCTGCACTTTGTACGGCAGGTTTGTATTTCCCTGTTAAGGTCAGATAAATTGGGAGGAAGATAATCCAGATGACCACAAACAGCAGCATACTGATGGTGATTAAAGATGCATTTTTGTACAAATCCGGCAACTGTCTACCTTTGAATGCGAACACCAAACAAATAAAGCCCAAGAAAGCGTTGTAGGCTAACATTGCTATAAAGTATTCATGGGATTGTGTCTCACACTGCTGCAGAATGGTCTCTTTCCCTGGCATCTCTTTAGGAATTGGTGGATTTACAATCAGCCATGAGACAGACAGGGCCAGCTGGATCCCAGAGACAATAGTAACTACCAACAGTGGCTTATTCAGCTTCTTTATCCAAGACCCTACGTTAAGGTTAAAGTTGAAAGCTACCAAGATCTGAAGCAAGTTAGCTAGAATGCAAGAGATACAAAGGGTGAAGGATACACCAAAGAGAGGCACACCTACACAGTGAATCTTCTCAGTAGGTTTGCCTATGAAGGTGAATGTAAGACAGAAGCCAGCCACCAAGGAAAAAAGCTCCAGAAAACACAAATAACCTCCAACTGCCTTTACAATGGGAGTTTTAAGATATACTGCAAACAGAACAGCAAACACAACGGTAGTAATGATCCCAATGACTGCAAGGGAGCTGAGAATGACTGAGAAGGGATCGGTCCAGAGGAGAAATTCATCCGTTTTGTTGAAACACTGATCCCTCTGTTCAGCAATTGAATATTGGTTGTCAGTGCAGCTCTTGCATGCTGAACCTGCAGAGGAAATACAAACATAAATAGCATAAGGGAAGAGGAAAATGTTTTATTACTCAATGTAAAGATTAAAATCCTTTGATAAGGAGCAAGGGGGGAAACCCCTGCATTACAAAAAATGTGCTTTTACGTGTGGAGGGACCAAACTACATCATCACAGAGCAGCAGCGTGAGAGATCAGAGGATATTTGCAAATTAATGCAAAACTGGCTTTGGATATTTTGGGAGAGAAGACAGACAAGAGTATATGCGTCTAATATGTGTTCATCTAATAAGTACAACAGTTATTCCATTTTTAGTATACAAACTTTTTAAATTCCCGAGCTCCGTGTCAGTGACAGTCAAAAAAACAACTCCAGAAAATCAAACAAGAAGCATCTCTTTTTCACATGACTGTAAGTGTAAAACAGGTGCATTACAAGGTTTTCGGTCAGATTTTGTAAAGTGTATCTACCTTAAAATGAGGTCAAATGTTTTAGTTTAATATGTATTATTTATTCTTTGTCATTTATTTTATGAGATTTAAGTGTTCGCAGAAATAGATCTAAGTATGCTAAAGTTGTTTTAAGTTATTGTTATCCTTTCTTTGGAACAAGCTGCCTTTTGATTATCTGTCAATAGATTTGAAAACAGACCTTTTTATCCACACTTATTAAGTGTTTTTTATTTTGGTATGTTTTGTTTTGTTTGTTTGGTTTTTAATTATATTTTGTTGTTTTTGCCACCTTAAGGGATTGTAAACCTACATGTTTGTTTTTTTTTTAATATTTTTGTCTTCTGTTAAATGCATTAAGTTTAGATGTAAAGAAGTGTTAAATCTAAATAAAGTTGCCATTGCCAGAATAAACTATTTTGTATAACTTGTCCACAAGCTGAAATACAAATTTTCTGTTTGAATTAGCTTTCATATTTGAATTTTTTTAGCAAAAACTTTCTTATCTAAAACTTAATATGGAAATAAACTCTTCAGCTGTCACTGAATAATATTTGTTTGCTACATTACTATCAGAATGAGCTGCTGAAGTGCATACAATCAATTTTTGCCTGTATAATTGAACTTTATCAATATTTGTAATAAAAGACTTACCGTTTCCAGGGGAAAACGTGCCATCAGCACATGAAACGCAAACTTTACAACAGACTTTTCTCTTCGTTAGTTCTTGTCCTGGATCACATGTTTTCGCACAGTTATATGCTGAGCCCTATGGAGGAAACAGTACACATACATGATGCTCATAAATTATTATGGGTAATAAATGAATGTTGAAATTTAATCTCACCGTCTGATTTATCAAGTGTACAAGAGACTCTGGGACTTTTGTCATTTTTCCATTCGGAAGGTATTCTCCAATAGTTTGTATTTGTACACCCATGTTGAATTCAGACATATTCCAGTATACAATATCGTATCCCAAACTGGGATCTCCATCACTATTAAAAAAGATACGTGTGGTTCCCACAGTAAAGTTTACTTTCTGGATTTCTGAGAGAAGCTGTGGAAACAATATGAACATAAATCAACCAAGACACTTGTTTAAACTGTACAAAATACAAAGAATAAAGAGAACTTTTAAGGGGGTATGTGTTGGACTGTTTCCTTGTTGGAAGTGATGACTTGCGCAATCCTACACCATGAAGACATTACCCATAAAATGAGAAATTATTAAAACATTACACACAAAAACAGGGCAAGCTGTCACTTTTGTAAACTGTTGGCATTTCCACAGTTATATTATATTTTAAGCCAAGGTTATCAACTCCTGGTCCAAGTATTATACTTTGACATAAAAAAAACTTGGTAAATGTCTTAAATTAATGAACAGCAAAACAACAACAACAACAAAACAATTAAAAAACATATTTCCTGTACCTCTGATGCTGTGAATTTGGAGCTACGTTCACAATGATGGTCGTCACACTTAAGCAAGTGTCTGAGCCCCTCACCAATGACTTGAACAGCTAAATAGATATTGTAAGATTCTTCCTTGTCAATGCAATTAGCCAAGAAGCTTGTTCCCAGACATTGATTAGATTCCAGCTGATAGTTTAGCGAGCAATTATTTGCTTTTACTTCTTCAGACTGATTTGAACAAAGTGGATGCTGCCTCAGATAATATTCGACAAAGGCGTTTTTTTGAGTTCCATTAAAAATCGACATGACGTAGTCTTTAAAGTCAGGCACCTCATTCTGCTTAAATATGAACCCAAAAACTTGTCCGGCAAGTTGGATGTCTGGAATTGCAAAGATCTTTGGAGAGCTAGACCATGTATCACTTGCAATCCAAGTTCTGTTGAATTTATGTTTAATTGCTCCTTTCAGGATGATTTCAACATTAATCTCCTTTGTGAAGAGGATGATGGCTTCAGCGGAGGAGTTTTTGATTTTTTCCAGTAGTTCAGTCAGCTCAGTTTGGGTCTTAGCACTATTTATATTAAAATCAGCAGACAAGATGTGAACAAATTCACTGCAGATATTGGTTTTGCTGAAAGTTTTCACAAGGCTATCACTACCATACTTCCCGTACTCATCATCACTTCCCACAATAATCACTGTTTGCCAATAAAATGTCTTCACCAGCTCAACCATACCCCTCGTCTGATATTCATCACTAGGCACTGTTCGTAGAAATGTAGGGAACTTGTACTTCCTGCTTAGCAGCTCACTAGTCGATCCATAACTAATCTGTTAAAAGACATAAAATAGGTAAATTCACCAATATTCATACCAGGTTAGATTCTCATATTTCTGAGGTTTGTAGTGCAGTATCAGATAAAGAAAGAACCAACCTGGGCAACTGAAGACAGAGCAACAAGTCGTGCAACAGCTATCGATGCTTCTGAGTTCCTTTCCCCGATCACCACCTTGGTTTTGGGTTCAGGTAACTTGGACTGAGCATCTGCTGGCACTAAACAGCTTTCTGGGTCTGACTGATTCTTCAGCAGCTGGAGAGTCGCTCTCAAGGCGAGGCCGACATCTCCACAAGTGTCATAGATGTCGTATCCTATGGTGATGTTAGGTAGGTTGATTTCTCTGATGGCGTATATCATCACTTGACTACGGAGGAACATTTGTATGTCATAGCTGCAAAAATGGACAGAATACAGATTAAATTCATGAATCATTTATTCACAGTAATGAGCCGATGAACTAAGGCAGTACTTACTCCTGACAGAAGAGAGGTCCAGAAGTGTCAGTCCTATTGGTTTTTAAGTGAATGGGGAAAAGTCCTCCAATGATGATATTCCCAGGATAGTATACACGTAGGAGACCATTCTCTCCTAAACAGGAATGAAACACGCTCATGACAAATAGCTGTATGAAGAACATTGTGGATCCGCAGAGATACAGATGTGCATTAGTTGTTTCTGGTGAGTATAAACTGGCCCACAAACACTAGCTGTTATAAACTTCCCCTCATGGATTATTTGCATGGTCAAACAGAGTCTTTGTAACTCTATGCAAAACAGTCTGTCTTCCTTAATTCTTCCCAATACGAAAACACAGAGATGATTTGAATCACTCATAGAAAAGGACTTATTCGTGAACAGGCCTGAGTAACGGTTTAATTGTTTTTAGATGACAGAAAATAAGCGATGTTAAGGCTCGATGTCAAGGATTACTCTCTACTTTCTATCAGCCGCAGTTGGTTTTGGCTGACAATGACTAAGTGGTGAGTCAGGCTGCTGCTACTGACAGGGTCACCTATTATGTGCCAAAGGTTAGATGTTAACCTGAACTTTGGTCCTTTTATGTTTTTAAAAGATTCTTAAACAAACAAATAAATAAAAGCTTCATACAAAGAAAATCCAGTAATTCAAATGCTGTTGTTAAACTATGGGGTTATAATTATAATTCAACAATGAACTGTTCACTTTGGATTGTATCAACCATAAAATGATTTTTACATTTAAGTCATACAGAATAGATATCAAAGCCTTAAACAGGCTGACTTCTGCTAAATGGGTCAAACTGGGCAGAAAGTATACAAACACATAACATCCTTATAGAATCTGATGTAACACTATAGATCAACTTACCTCAGAATATATAAAGCATATAAACATATATACAAACATTCTATCAACATGTTGGAACTGGAATTCCAACATGGTGATAGAACCAGACATGTGTCAAGTTAATCTGGCTGTAGGCTATGGCACTTGGAGCTAGTTTGAGTGCACACAGAGTAAACTGCACGCTTTAGTCATGAGGCTAAATCACAGAAATCAGAGGGGAATGATAACGTAGACAAGATTCACCAGATCGTTGACTTTTGGTGACTCATTGTGACATTTATGAGGTCAACTCGTGCATGAGAACAACACCAGGTAAACTCACGACAGTATTAAATATTTTACTGTCCAAGTGCAATAAGAGTGATGGGCCGTGTCACAAATGTCACAGATCAAATGAATGAATGACCCTTTATTTATCACTTAAAATTGGACTTAGCATAATTGGACCCCTTCCGACCATACATACATTACAGAAACATCACATTGGGGAGACGGGTCAGAACAGGTAGCTTTTAGAAAAATAAACAATGAAATGTGCAACACAATAGGGGAGAGGAGGAGAAAAAAAGAGAACTCTACCCATCAGTTTGAGAACAGAAAACAAAAACTCCTCAGCACAAAAAGCACATGGATCTTCACACCTTTACGCCATTAAAAAAACACACATGACAAGCAACAGGGGTGGGTATGGGGTATGTGAGTGAGCCGGTGTAGACAGCAGCATCCAGTCCTGCAGCAGCTCTCTGCTGGTCCAGTTGACCTGCCGACTGCATAGGAAAGGAGCAAGCATTGAACACTCTTCCAGCCGGGGAAATTGGCACGGGGCATTGCTGTCCTGGGGATAGCAAAGCAATCCCCAGGACGGCAATTCCTATAAGCACTGTGCATATAGGAGCTACTGTGTAGAGGTCTGGGGAAACACATAAAAGTAATACACAAAAAATAACTATAATACAGAAAAGGACCATTAGATTAATATATAGTGTGGGGTACAGGGACCATACAAATGCACTCTTTCTCAAAATGCAAGCTTTTAAATTCCAAGAATTGGTGAAGTTTAAAACGGGGCCAATAATACATAAAGTAAGAAATAAAATGCTTCCAAAAGAAATTTGTAAATTGTTTCTAGAAAAAAAGGTGAGTATACCTTACGTTGTTAATGGAATTTAAAAGTACAAAGTGCTAGAACAACTTTTAAAATTATGTCTATCTCAATAGCAGGAGTTAAATTATGGAAATAGATAAATAGAATATAAAAAAAACTAATTTTAAACAAATATAAGAATGAAGAAAATGGGGTTAACCCAGGACGGTAGTGGTGTTCTTTTTTTTATTTTTTCATAAATTGTGAATCTGCAAATTTACTTAGTTTATTTCTTGTTTTTGTTTTATGTATGTAAGTTTGTTTTGTTTTTCTTTTGCTTTATATGTTGTTTAATTTAAGACTAAAAGAAAATTAAATGAGTGAGAGGTAAAACTTGAGGGGGTAGAGCCAAATAATTCTGCCTACGCCTTTTCAAACAAAAAACTGGAATGGTATTTTTTAATGATTTTGAATGTACATGTTTGAAATAAAAATGAACTGAACTGAGCTGATGCCGAAAGAAGACAGTTGACCAAAAAGCTCGGTGATAGGAAAGTTGGTTGATTTATTTCGTAAGAACTAGGGAAGTGAACGTTATCTGGCCATTTATTTTTTAAGGCACACTCATTTGAATTATTTGTTGACATTTCAGTCCCCACTCCACACCAGTTGATGGCGGTAATGCACCATTTAGCTGTTTGCCAATAAACAATATAAAGAGGAAGGTCGTCCATCACCCCTTTCCGATACCAAGTAAAATTCAGGGTAGTATCGATGATACTGATCTGATACCGATACTTTGTACAAAAACATGTTTTATTTATTGTATCTTTTATT